ATAAAAATTGTGGCATATATACACAATGGAATGAATAAAAGAGAATAAAATTATGGCATTTGCAGATAAATGGATGGCGTTGGAGAAGATAATACTAAGTGAAGTTAGCCAATCCCCCAAAAAACAAATGGCGAATGTTTTCTCTGATATAAGGTGACTCATAGTGGGGTAGGAAGGGGGAGCATAGGAGGAATAGATACTCTAGATAGGGCAGAGGGGTAGGAAGGGAAGGGAGCAGGCTAGGGTCAGCAAGGATGGTGGAATGTGATGGACAGCATTATCTAAGGTACATGTATGAAGACATGAATTGATTTGAACATACTTTATATACAACCAGAGATATGAAAAATTGTGCTGTATATGTGTAACAAGAATTGTAATGCATTCTACTATCATTTATTTAAAAGAAAAATCAATAAAAAATTTAAAATAAATTTTTAAAAAAGAGAAGGTGTTACTAATTCGGTTCCATGGAAACAGCTGAGGATGGTGTGTGGGGGCTCTCCCTTTCTCCAGTGCTGATTCTTGTAAAAAGTGTCTTGAGGGGTTGATTGGCCCAGAACAGTGAAAGAAAACCTTGTTGTCATGGGAACTTCTGTAGATTGTGAACCTCTGAGTCCCTCCCCCTATACATTGTATATAAAGTTCTAAAACTGCCTGAACTAGGGGTTCAGGGGGATTGATTGATTAAAGCAAAAGCTTTTCCCTGTGAAGCTAGTTGCTTCCTGTTTTCCTTTTCTGTGATTTCACTTTTCTGTCCTTCTTAGCAGCCCCATGTTTGGAGGGTGGGGCTTGCTGGCCTTCCCATTTCAAGAGATTGTAGTGTAGTATGGTGTCCCTTGCACACCAGAGGCTGAAGACCACCTCCCCATAGGATCTGGCTGGGTCTTAACTTATCCTAGGCACCCAGTGTTTTAAAGGAGCAGATGTCACTCTTAATTACATGAGTTAACAGAACATAGCTAATTCTAAAATTTTCAGATTTATGGACACCACAAAAATGTCCAATAAATATTAATTTATTTATATAGTCTTACTTCCCTTAAACTTATGATAAACTCTTTTCTTTCTTTTAATGCAGTGCTGGGGATCAAACCTAGGGCCTCAGACATGCTAGGAAAGTGCTGTACCTAAGCTACATCCCAGACTGAACTTTAATTTTAATTATGTGATTCAAAATCAAAATGATCAAAAAAGGACTGAAAATGACTGCAAACGCAGCTTTAACACATCCTCCTAAACACTACAAAAATTCCATTATTGACGCATCTTGCATTCCACAATTTCTGTGCCATTACTGGCCTTTTCCTTCATCCTTTCCTCTCTAGCTTCTCTAGCCCATGTCAGGAGCTGGGAGGGAGAGTCATTCTTATTTTCATACTGTTTTCATGGATTCTTCAGGAGGTCCTGGGTAGATTTTGGCTTCCTATGTTTTCTGAGAAAACTACTAAGAACATACTTAGCTGATGCAATGAGCTGAGTACTGTGAGCGCCATCGTCAAAATCCATCTGGACAATGAGGATTTTACGTCTGGCTGTCTTCATTAAGCTGCTTCTGAAAGAAAAAGGGAATCACCCAAGTGAGTGCTCTGTCCTAAAACAATGGCAGCCACAGCTCAGAAAGCTAAGGCAGGAGGGTCACAAATTCCAGGATAGCCTCAGCAACTCACAGAAATCTTATCTCAAAATTAATAATAATAATTATTAAGGGCTGGGGCTGGGGATGTAGCTCAGTAGTAGAGCAGCCCTGGGTTCAATGCCCAGCACAAGCAAAACAAAACAAAAACATGGATCACAATACTCTACAAAGTGAAGGGAAACAGGCCATTCAGAACCCAGCATCTGGTAGAGGTCTCCCTCCACAAGGTGAAGATGCAATCCACTGGAGAAGGAAAAGGCTACATAATGCTCAGGAGACAGAAGGACATGGCTGTCTTACAACTGGGGCCAGAGGGGCATATGAGGAGGCTGAGCAATGAGCCTCCATAGTACTCAGAGTTCCTTACAAGTGGTTACCACACCCTGGCATGCGATACCACATTCCCAGGGCAGGGGCCAAGGGTGATGGGCAGGCAGGGCACCTCACCGGACTTCCTTGAGGAATGAGTACTCAGTGTCAAACTGCTGCAGTGACAGGATCACAGGCTTAGGGGCCAAGCCCTTCACCTCTTCCCCTAGGGCTTCACAGTCACAGTTCGTCAGCAGTCTGGAGAAGGTGGTGATCTACAACATGGATGTACAAGCCATCAGCCAGATTCAAGCAAGGGTGCAGAGAACTGGTCAGAACTCGGGGCCAGTGGGCACTCAGACATAAAGAAGCCCAACTCAGAGCAGCTTTTACATACAAAGAGTGGCTGAGGCAAGCAGAACCTCCAGAGTCAACAGATGGCAGAGAGAAGACTTGCTCTGACCCAAAGCTGCCTTGGTCTCCTTTTAACATGCCAATGTCTCTCTTTCTGCTTTTTTCCTACTTGAGAGCCTCCTGATCCTTTAGGGCTCAGCACAATGACATTTCTTCTTGTAATCTGGCTTCCTGCTATCAGATGTAATTAGCCACTGGCAACTCTCCCTCCCCTCGGTAGTTCTCAATTCTCTGTTATGGACCATATCCCACAGGGCAAACCCAGATGTTCCAGGCACATAGGACCTCAGCTCTTCAGAACACTTCTTTTTTTTTGTCCCAGGGATTGAATGCAGGGGTGTTTAATCACTGAGTGACATCCCCAGTCCTTTTAACTTTTTATTTTGAGACAGGGCCTTGAGATCCTCCTGCCTCAGCCTCCCAAGCCACTGGGATCATAGGGATGTATTATTGCACCTGGCTCCAGACCCCTTCTCTGTGCCAGTCCTTACTGACAAGCTTCCAATTCCCACATCCAACCACATGGCAAAAAAATCCTAAACAGATGTCACCACTGGCTCCCAAACCCATTGCTGCTCCCTGGATTCTCATGGTGACTGCCCAAAGCTTCAGTGAGTTCAAGAAGGCTGTCCTCTGCCTCTGCCACCCTTCCATGGAGTCAGTGATTAGCCCAGCCATGCTGCCTGCTAACCATTTGCAGTTTGCAACATGATAGCAGCCTCCTGACTGGTGTATCCTCTCAATATGATTCTCTTGCTCCACTGTCTTCCCATCACCTGGATGGTACATCCAGGTACACTTTCCTCCATAGCTCCTCTCTGCACAGGCAAGACCAAGCTCAAGGCTGCTGACAAGGCCCTCCCCATGTCTCTCCACCTATCCCATCCCCATGACCCAGCACTCATTAAGCCTGAACTTCATGCTCTGTCAGCAGTCCCTTCCTGGTATCCTGCACAGATGCAGATTCAGACTCAATATCTGTGCCCCATGGAGCCCTCTGCTCTGATGCCTACCCAGCCAGCCCACACGGCCAGCCCAAGGGGCCTCTCTTAAGGAGAACTGGCTGTTGGGTTTTGGAAAATGAAAAACACCAAAATAGTGAAGCCTGGGAAAAGGGAGTTAAAAAGAAAGCCATACATTGATAGCACTGATCCTTCCCTTGGAAGAATCTTTGCCGGTGAAAAGACCAGCCCTGGGGAGGAAATACCCATTCAAGCCTAGATTGGCAGTCTCTGGGAAGAAGCCAAAGCATTGAACCTTCCCCACATAAGTCCTTTCTCAGTGATAGTACAATGAGACCATGGAGGGAAAGAGATGAATACTGACCACGACACTAGACCCTTCATCTGATCCACTGACCACTGACCCTAGACCCTCCATTAGACACACTCTACAATAATTAGGTTACCTCTCAGTATAACCTATATAAGCACAAACTTCCCCTTTGACTGGTGGCTTATTTTCCTCCAGGAGAGTGGATCCATCAGAGGCATCACCCCATTCCTAAATGAAACTTCATTCCTGAATAGAGAGCTCAGCTGATATGTGAAGTTTGCAACCAGCCAGGTTCTTTCGTACTAATACCACCTATGATCCATGCCCCTACCTGGCTGCACAGATTTCACTTATAACACTAAGGGCATCTGTTGGGAGGCATCCTCATCCATTACTCTTACACTGTCCAAGGATAAGAAGCAGGGCAATTTACTTACACCTGGGGCCTGCCAGCACTCTGGGGAAGTGAACGTTGTGCCCAGTACTGCTCTCAGAACAGAGCTCTGCTCACAAACAGGCAAGAGAAGCCTAACTGAACTTATCCTCCTTGAGCCTAAGATGGAAGAGACACACCCATTTCCCAGACTGAATGGTACCGTAAATGGAGTGGAGATTTCCTGGCCCCAGGATCATGGCTCCTGGGTAAAAGAGGAAAAGGAAAGGCTGTGGGGGCAATCACCTCTGTGAAGATGGCATGGCGCTCTGAGTCTGCATTGCTAAGTTGGACCTGGAGGAAATCTGCAAAGGAGTGGTGCTGCTGCTTGTTCCAGTATTCCTGGGACAGTGTTTGTGCAGCAAATGAGCCCAGCGTGGAGGTCCTCAGCCGCACCACGGCATCTGGTGTGGCACAGTCCAGCAGGATCAGCTTGGCCTCCTCAGATACTCTGTGATACAGCTCCTGTGTCAGGTCCCTGGGGCCCTGCCTCTCCATGGCCTGCAGCACCACAGAGGCACAGGCGTCAGAGTGGTAGCCGATGAAGACTTCAGCAGGGCTGTACTTGTGCCCAGCCAGGAACTGATGGGCCTTTACATCAGCGAACTCCTCTGCCCACTGCATGAGCTCCTGCACAATGCTTTTCTGCCACCCCTGCAGCACC